TGGTATTCCTTGCTTCAGGCAGAATTTCTTTCCGTGGATTGGCCCTTAGCACATACAGAGATTTCAGAAATTTTTGCGACTAATGATTCTTATGCATATGTTATCCTCACATTGAAGTCTTTCTCATTTTATCAAAGAATTACTAGCTTATGGCATGAAGACTACTTATCTCTCCCTAGGCCCCAAGCTGTTTTTCTTCTCAAGGGTGAGTTCTGAGTGGACAGATCTTTTCCTGTGAATCATGCTCCCTTCTGTGATATTCTGCTTTTTGCCATACCAGCATTAGACCCGAAGTCTGGTTTATCTGTGTGCCTACGCGTATCTCGCAGCCTATGGATGTTGTCTCATCAGCAGCATGCTGTCTGCACATTTCCAAGAAATCTACCTCTGTAGATTCTTATCCTCTGTCATCCATTCAGAATGCCACATCATGGTAAAACAGGAGCTGCTTACTCCCTGGTGTTGTGAAGGCAGGGTGGGGGAACCTCAAAGAAGAGAGATTGTCATGGAGTCAAGGTTTATCCCATAACAGAGCCCAGCTATGGAACACAGATCTATGCTAGAAGGTTGAAGGAAACTAAGAGATGGGAGATTTAAAGTTTATCTAAAGTGTAGCCCATAACTCTTTGGGCCATTCCTGCCCAGAAATGGCAGATTCTGTATTTCTGAAAACAAGAAGGATGTGTGGTTATAAATTTGCTCAGGGTTTAGACTGAGGGACATGACCATGGACTTCAGATCAGAAAGACCTGGTATCTGTCCTTTGTGAACTCTGTGACCCTAGGAAAGTTACTTAATTTCTCTAGGACTCAGTTTCCTCTCCTATAAAACAAATAAATTAGACTAACAGTACATAGTCCCTAGGGCTGTATAATAGTTGGGATAACTAATAGTTAAGTTTGGTTGTGAATGATAGAAAACCTAGTATATCTGTTACTGTAACAAGAAGGACATTTACTATTCTTCATGTAAAAGTCGGTCAGTGGCTTAGGGATGATATGATGGATGTGTGCTCTCCAGGACATAGGCTGCTTTTATCCTTTTGTTCTGTTATCCTCAACCTATGGCCTCTACTTCATGACTCAAGATGGCTCCTCAAGCTACAGCCCTTAAATTGTTCATTCCAGCCATTGGGGAAGAGAAAAGAGGGAGAGAAGGAGGAGGACCTACCCCTTCCCTTTGACCCCTTCCATTTATAAGTGATTGGCTAGAACTTAGTCTGACAACCAATTGTAATGGAGGCTGGGAAATGTAATTTTTCCTCAGGGCAGTCATGTGCTTAACTAAATAATGGAAGTTCTTTACTATCAAAGAGGGGGAAATGGGTATTGGCCCACATAACTAGCAGTCTGCCACAGATCTTTGTGAGATTTAAATGAGATGAGGCCAATGGAGGGCTGAGCACAGACTGAGCTCCATATCACCCCATCATCATTTTCATCATCCCCATGAGAATGGAGGGAATACTTTGAAACCATCACCAGATCTCTTTCTTCTAACCTCGTCTTATTAACAATGTCACTCTTATCCACCTCCCTTCTAAGACCCCATCAGCTTTATCTTTTATGAAGGTCAGACACCTATACCTTATGAAATAAAACAATGCAAAAGGAAAGTAAGGGAACAGTGGACACAGGATTCAAAATAATGGTTATTTTTGGCTGGGAAAACAGAAGTAGGTTGGGGTGGGGATGGAGGAACCACATAGTTATTTCATGTCAAAGCTCTAGTCTTTATTTTGGGCAGGGGATTCACAGGTGCGTCTTGCATTATTAAAAATAACCAATAGCCAAAGCAAAGTAGAGGTACCTGGACCAATAATGAGGCTGTGTCGTGAATCAAGGATTAAAATTAACCTGACTCTATGCACATGAGGTCTTTTCATTGGCTTTGTGGGTATAGTATTGCATGGCTTATGTGTCTGCATGTCAATACTAGACAAAAATAATACTTTTTATTTGCATACACTTTTAATTTTCAAAGTGTTTCCACACATCCATAAAAACTGCTTAGGAAGTTCCTTACACATCACTGAGAGCGTGGCATTGTACGGATAGGACTACGGACTTCTGGGTCCTAAGGGAAAATAATTTACTTTATTCTTATAGTGGCTATATGAGGTCGGCAGGACAAATGTGTTATCGCTTTTCACAGATGAGAAATAAGGAACTGACGGTGGGGGGAAGGGACTCCAGTGAGGTTATGAGTAGTTGGCCTGGAAGGGAACTTACGTCTGGATCTCTTGCCGAGTGCTTCCCCTTTTATCCCCGCTCACTCCCGGTTCTTATGCGCCCATTAGGCATGTGCTCCATGCCAGACACCTTGGGCTGATGGGTTTGTGTTCATGTAGGTGTGCGTTTTGTATGCAGCTTATGTAACTTCTATGCACATGCACACAGACCTGCCCTTGGAGTCCTTGTGTGCCCTGAGGCCTGCATGGCCCATGTAACTGAGTGAGGGATCCCCAGCGGCGGTTTCAGTTGCTTGTTATTCCTGGGTCACTGGGCTTCAGCATCTCCCCAGAGTCCCAACTAGTTAGGAAGGTAGTTGTGATATCAGGGACAGATCCCCAGGCAGGGGCACGGAACAGAGGAACCAGCCAGCTATGCTTTAATGATAATAATAATGATAATAATAATAATATTTCCTGATAATTTATAGTTTACGAAGGGTTCTCTTAAATACAATCTCATTAAATTCTCACTCAGCCCTGAAAGTCAAGGTTATTATTTTTCTCATTTGTTCAGATACAAAGAGAGGTTAAACGGCTTACTCACGGTAACCCAACTTGAGGATGGATTCGAACTCAGGTCATTTGTCTCTAAAACTCTTGTTCTCTTTCCCCTGTGCCTTCCTATCTCCGAAAGGGCGAAGAGCTTATCTTCTTTCTAGCCATGTGGAGAGAAGCAGGTGAAAACTCAATGCCAAGCACTGGGAAGCCCCCAGTGACACTCTTCTGTGGACAGAAAAAAACGAACTCAGAGCTGGGAGCAGCCCCAGACCAGGGACCTTTCATCAGCAGAGAAAGAGCCTGAGCAGCTGGAGCTTTCTACTTCCCCATCCTTGCATCTGTCCCTCTCTCAGTCCCTGGACATCTCCCACGTGTGCCTTGGTGATGTGATAGTGATTCTACAGAACCCGAGAGGGGAAGGCGGTCTCCAAACTCTGCGGCCTAGGTGGTCTCTGTGTTTTTGAAGAGTTGGGGGTGGGGGGCTCTCTAACCACATCTGCCCTCAGCTACTGCAGCTGGGAGGCGAATCCCTCCGCCTCCAGCTCCCAGCCCACATCTATGCAGCTTTCGCCACACTGTTTTATTATACCTGCCTGTTTTCTTCCCTATCGATTAACACCACTTACCCCTGTGAGGCTGGGCATGGCACCTTGTACACAGTTAAGTTGTCCCCTAAATTCACTCTGCTTCGAAAGAGCCATTATCTTTGTTTCCTTCCCAGCCCCATGGAATGAACTCTGCTGCTCAGCCTGGAAGGAGTTGTACTGTTTTGGAAGGGTAACTCCTGCCTTTTGCTCCACCTCTCACTCCTTCTGGAGTGTTGGGGGGACACATTAGGGACCACATGTGGCCATAGCTCAAGCCCCATTTTAAATTTTGGGTTATCAGTAATCAAGCTGAAGTTTTGTCTTCACCTGTCTGGTTCCTTTGTCTTATTTCTCAACTGTTCTACCAGTCAGAGCGGGGAAGAGGTCAGCAGGCTTGTGTTTGAGGATCACCCCCCACACCCAACAGCAGCCTCTATTCAGAGCGTCCCCAATCACCTGCCCTGGGCTACTATAGGCTCAGCTAGATCCTTGGTATCTTCCTCAGAGGTATGGGGCGAATCTGGACTAGAGCTTGACTTCCTAAAAATACCCACCTCTGGGGCACCTGGGTGGCTCAGTGGGCTAAAGCCTCTGCCTTCGGCTCAGGTCATGATCCCAGGGTCCTGGGATCAAGCCCCACATCAGGCTCTGTGCTCGGCAGGGAGCCTGCTCCCCCCCCCCCCCGCTCTCTCTGCCTGCCTCTCTACCTACTAGTGATGTCTGTCTGTCAAATAAATAAATAAAATCTTAAAAAAAAAATACCCATTTCTCCTAATGGTGCCAGTTCAGGGACTAACTCTTCCACGCTGCAGATCAGAACCTAGCTCCCAGACCTTCCTTTTTGTTGCGTTGTCTTATCTAATTCTCTCCACACCTGGTGGAAAGGTACTGCTATTCTTCCCACTGAGGGAGAGGAGAAATGGCTGGGTCAGGATCACACAGGAAGTCTGAAGGTCAGTCTATCCTTTTCCCACTCAGTTTCCTTTTTATTTCATTTCATTTTATTTTTTTAGTTCATTTACGTGAAAAAAAAGTTCAAAGTTATAATTGCTACATTCTTCATAGTTACACTGTGATAAATCTTTAACTGAAAAATAAATGTATGAGAAAAGAAGTGCAACACTCAGAGGAAAATGGTCTGGAAAATATTTAATATTTGCCTCACACCCATGTCGAGGACGAAGGACCTCGGTAATTCGGTAATTCTCGGTCACTCCCGCTCACCCCGAGATCTCCAGTGGCTAACACTAGTCAGCTACCCCTCGCCTTCAAAATACACCCCTTCTCCCAATTGGCTGCTGCGGTCTAAAAGAGACGCACAATTGGAAGAAAGTGGCTCTTCCATCTGAATTATACAGCCGCTTTCATACACCTCCCTCTTCCCTTTGCGCAGCCCGGATCGGTTACCAACTAAGGTTTCTCAGCCCCCATTCCCTGTCCTTCAGCCCCCCAGGCCCTAGCCCGCAGGCCCCGCCCTCCACACTCCGGAGGTCTTGCGTCCTCCCCTTTAAGGCCAGCCCCTCCCCCACGCCCACACCTCCCCGGCCCCGCCCCGCCTCCCCAAGCCCAGCCCCTCCGACCCTCCCCTTTAAGGATCGGCCCCGGACGCAGACAAGGCTGTGACGCGGCCGCCGGCCCCCGGGCTGGGTACATTGTCGCGCGGCCGCTTCCCCCCCGGGCCGGGCCCCGCCGTCCCGCGGTCCCCCGAGCGCCAGGCCCCCGGGGGGAGGGTGGGAGGGAGGGAGCAGGGCTGGTGGGCGGCAGCGGCGCACGGCGGGACCCACGGAGCCCCGCGACCCGCCGAGCCTGGAGCCGGGCCGGGACGGGGAAGCCGGCTCCAGCCCGGAGCAAACTTCGCAGCCGGGCGGGGGGTGGCGGGGACCCCGTCCGGAGCCGGAGGAGGGGGCGGCCGCGGGCCCTACCGCCTCTGCTCCCGCGTCTCCGGGCACCATGCTGTCCAACTCCCAAGGCCAGACCCCGCCGGTGCTGTTCCCCAACCCGCCGCCGCCGCCGCCGCCGCAGCCCCCCGCCCCGGCCCAGCCTCACCCCCCGGCCCAGCCGCCGCCGCTGCCCCCGCAGCAGTTTCCCCAGTTCCATGTCAAGTCGAGCCTGCAGATCAAGAAGAACGCCATCATCGACGACTACAAGGTCACCACCCAGGTCCTGGGACTGGGCATCAACGGGAAAGTTTTGCAGATCTTCAATAAGAGGACCCAGGAGAAATTCGCCCTAAAAGTAAGTTCGGGGCCGGGGGGAGGGGAGGAGGGGCACGGGGGAGGCTCCCGGGGACGGCCCCCGCCCCGCGCTCCGGAGCGGCCGAAGCGCACAGTCGCCGGGCGCGATCGCGCCGACCCTTCCCGGACCCGGTGTCAGTCCGACCCGGTCGCTGAGGAGTGGCCGCGGCCCCGCTGTCGGTCCCGGCGCCCGAGGGGAGCCAAGTGCGCGGCAAGGGGCGGGCGGGCAGCCGGGAAGGTCAGGTCCGCGAGGACCACGCCGCCAGACTGAGTTTCCGGTCACCTCCGGGTGTGAGTGGCGGGACCCGAAAGGACTCGTGAGGACTCTGCCATTTTGGGGTTTGAGCGGGATCCAGCCGAGGCGCAACGGTTGGCTTCGGGACCACTTCTGCTAATTTCACCCCGGCGCAAGGAAGTGATTTTCGGGGGTTGTGGTTCCCCATCCTCTCCTCCCTCCTTTCTTTCTTTCTGCGGGCACAAAAGGCCCATTACTCATTGAGCTGGTTGGTCGGTTAGTTTGGAGAAGTCGGATCGCTGAGGTTTATTTAGACTCGCTCCTTATTTGGGAGCCGGAATGTGTGATTTCACTTCCCTGGGCCTCCCGAGCGCGGCCCTGCAGCCTTGGGGCGCGCCGGCCCGGGAGGTGCCAGGCTGGAGATTCCGCGGGGACACCGCCCCCCGGGCGCGGGGGAGGGACTGTTTTGATCCGAGAGCAGGCTCCCCTCCTACCTTCAGTGCCTGTGAGGCTCCAGATGGGAGGCCAGCAGGCTCCGGCGTGATGTCTGCTGTTTCCATAGCTCCATTGATCATTGTGAACCCGGTCTCTAAAACGCGGCTTGGCCGGGTGCTGATGCCGCAAATTGGGGATGGCCGCTTGAGTCCTGGACATAGGCGATTGGTGGACAGTAGGAGGGAGCGTTATCCCTGAGCTGAGGAAACCCAAACTCTTTTTTCTTTTTCTTTTTTTTTTTTTTAAGGGGGTGTGGTGGTTGGGGGTGGGGTGGGGATGAGGATTTAAGAGAAAATACCTATTTCAGAAGTTAAACAGAATGGACTTGGAGGTCTGATGAGATGGGTGGATCCCCATTGCTGTGTGAGCCAGTGTTCAGGGTCATTAAAAAGGTTTTCCCCTCAGACAGGTTTCAGATCAAACCACATCTCTAAAGGTGACACATCAGGCCTGTTTCCCCTGGGGCGTCTTAATGATTGGAGGAGGAGAAAAATACTTCCTGTGTTGTATTTTTCTCCTCCCCCTCGCTGACCCCCCCCCCCCAACCAGCTGTATTTCAGCTATTAATACAAAACTCAGATAGGTGTGATGGGTGGAACTGTTGGAATATATAATTAGATGTAATAAAACTCTGGCAGTTTGCAGTTGCAGAGAGCAAGCAGATCCGATTTCCAGATTTTAAGACCTCTAAAATTATTTCCTTGATGCTTGCATCCTCCTTCGGTGGGGAGAGCTTTCAGCTAGCCCCAGCACTGTCAGATCGTTGGGCTTTTACTCTAAGCTGTTGCTGTGGGCTTTTTGGTTGTTGTGCCTTAGACCACTTTTTCCATAGTCATAAGCGGGGACTGGGAGGAGGAGTGGTGGTTTAACTGTGGCTCTGACCTTGGGGAGTAGTGTTGAGTGAAGACTCTTTGACCACAGTTAACCTGTAACGGTGAGGACGTGACAGCCGTTCTTTCTGGGAGAGTTTTCTATCCCTCTGAGAGGCCATCTGCCTTCACCCATCAGCAGTTTGGGGACGAAGGCTGTTCATTCCCTTGGATAGCTGAAATATTGTATAAAGACTTCAGAACAAAAGCTCTCCACTTCTTTTTATTCTATTTAATGACACAGAAAACCACACGCTAAAATGTTTAAGAGTGGCAATTCGGATTTCTGTTGGAATTCAGATTTCTGTTCTTGTAATGAATAGGACAGAGATTGGATATTCCCCTCCTGTAAATAGTTTTGAAAGGAAAAATCTGGCAGTGTTTTAAATAGCACTCATAATTCATCTTTCTCAGGTTAGAAGTGGGTGAAGATTGAAGTCAGTCTGTTTTGACAGGCAGTCTGCGCCCAGATCTTATAAGTTGACTCAACTGTTAAATTGTAGATTCCCACACATCTTTGTGTAAAAACTTAATAATAGTGGAAGAAAGAAGGTACGAGGCATTCCGAGACCGACAGTAGTGTCGACAGCACTTCCATATCCAAATATTGGCTAAGACATAATTACAGCTTGTGGGGAGAAGCTGGTCCAAAGAATCCTGTTTGAGACATACACCAAAGAGATTTCTAGATCTTGAATCTTGATGAACTTAACCTTAGGTGCTGAGCAGTAGAATGATTTTCAAAACCAGGAGTGTTTTGATTATAAAACAAGGGGGGTGGAGGTTGTGGGCTAGGATGGATTGCCCCATTGGGAAAGTGAGGAAAAAGGGATCAGACCTCTACTCTATATTGTGTGTTAGGTTGTTCCTGGGGATTCGAGACAGGAGCTATAGGACTGGGGCACGGTCTCGGATGCGGTTCTGATCTCTGCTGCTTCACGGCTCCGAGAGTGGATGGGAGGTTGTGGCTAAGAGGTCTGGTGACCTCTTAGCCCTCTTGAGGGAAATCAGTACTTTAAAAAAAAAAAAAAAAAAAAGTCCCAGCTCTTGCTGCTGCTTTTCTACCTCCACCTCAGAGAGCTAACATTTCAGGGCTTTTAGTGGGTGCCGTGACCTCACCTCGCCATCTCTCCTGGCTGCTGTTGCTACGTTCTGAGTCATACTCGCACTTGCTCAGAGCCGGAAGGGACTTCAGAGGTCATCTCGTCTAACCCCCTTGTCTTGCAGATGAAAAAACCAAGACCCAGAGCAGAAATCACTTGAGGTCATAGAGCCATGCACTTGGCCGAGGCAGGATTAGAACTCGGGATGCCCGACTCCCTGTCTCAGGCCCCTTCCCACTTCATAACTGCAGTGGCGTCCACAGGCCCAGACCTGGGGTTGGCTGCTGCTCCAGAGCTCCTCAAGCCTCAGGAGTTGCTCTCTGACCCCCTTGACTGTTGGCGAGGGGGTGCTGGGTGGGTATTTATTGCGCCCCCAGCAGTAATCCCCGAAGTTGGAGGGGCAGCTTATGTACCAACTCAGCAGCTTCATGAGTTTTAAATTAGGTAACCAGCTTAAAAAAAAAAAAAAAAAAATCATACCACCTCCACCCCTTTTAGGGAGTGTTTGAAAGAAATCTTATTATTTTTTGTAGAAGAACGTAGGAATCATATTAACTGTTTCTTTGGTAAGGACACCTAGTCTCAACCCACTTGTGTAATAATTGGTTGTATGCCCCCTGGGGTTCCTCAGCTGCTTCCTGCTTCACTGTGTCATGGTGACTCTTGGGTATTAGCTGAACAAATTTAATTAAAGCTGGCACTGTTGTCCCTCTCTGCTGCATGACTCTGATTAGTTGAAGGGTGCTGTTGCTTTACAAAATATAGAATGTTGTCATACCTTATCTCTGTTTATCTTTCCATTGCGTGGATTAGAGAGAAAACAAGGTCCTGTGATGTCTTCTCCTTTCCTTTCTCCAGTGGTTCTCCCTCCCCAGGTCACTGTGTGTCACTGTGGTGGGGCTTCCTCCGGTGCTCCAAAGGGGAGATAATCGGAACCTCGCGTGCTTGTTCCGGACACACAGGGAGGCACAGAGCTCCCACAGCCCCGAAGGACAGGCAGCATCCCACCGGCACACCTCATGCTTGAATACCTCCTGGGTAGCACACTGGGTAGCACGGCTGTGTGAGGGGCGCTGTTCCCAGATGTGGTTTGCCAGATGAAATCGCATGGTGAGGAAGGTTTCACTCACTAAGTTGGCCTCTTTTAAAGAAGAGAGCACGAGGTGGGGCAAATGGCAGAGGTGGAGACAGAGAGAATCTCCATCAGGTTCCGGACCCAGCACCGAGTCCAAGGTAGGGCTCGATCTCACGGCTCTGAGTGTGACCTGAGCTGAAATCAAGTCGGACACTTAAACTGACTGAGCCACCCAGGTGCCCCAAATTAGCCTCTTTTATATCTCCTTTGCTTATAGGTTGTTAACAGTTCACTGAGCATCCTGCTATATGCTTAGTCATCTAAAGTGCCTTAAAACTTGAGGGGTCAAGAAACCGATTTGGAGAAGGCATTAACAGATGCAGTCTGTGTTGTCCCATATGGCAGCCAATACCCATGCATGGCTATTTAAACTAATGTTAATTAAGCTGAAAATCAGGGACCTCTGGGTGGCTCAGTGGGTTAAAGCCTCTGCCTTCAGCTCAGGTCATGATCCCAGGGTCCTGGGATCAAGCCCCGCATCAGGCTCTCTGCTCTGCGGGGAGCCTGCTTCCTCCTCTCTCTCTGCCTGCCTCTCTGCCTACTTGTGATCTCTCTCTGTCAAATAAATAAATAAATAAAATCTTAAAAAAAATAAATAGAAAATCAGCTAGCCACCTTTCAAGTCTCCAGTGGCTACATGTGGCTACTGGCTGCTGAACTGGATAACACGGAAGTATATACTCCTCCTATTAGAAAGTTCTGCTGCATTGTGCTGGTCTAGAGGTGAAATCGTGTGGTTGAGGCTAGAAGAGTTTTGGAAGGGAAATCTCTGAGGACCCTCGGAGCCACGGACAGTTCATTGCTGGGCCTCTGAAGTATGAGCAGGTCTGTAGGAGCGGCTGGTGATGCTGGCCCCGAGGGAAGAACGGGAGATCAGGTGGGCAAAGACCAAGTAGGGTTGGTGGCCCAGAATTGAACCTAACCTAGCTTTATGTATTTATTAAAAAAAAAAAAAAAAAAAGATTTTATTTATTTGACGGAGAGAGAGCTCACAGTAGGCAGAGAGGCAGAGAGAGAAGGGGAAGCAGACTCCCTGTGGAGCAGAGAGCCCGATGTGAGACTCGATCCCAGGACCCTGAGATCATGACCTGAGCTGAAGGCAGAGGCTTAACCCACTGAGCCACCCAGGTGCCCCTAACCTAGCTTTATATTAAAAGTAGTTGT